AGGTGATCTTTCTCGAGTCATATTCTTTGGAGGATTATATAGTCTAGTACAAGGTCAACCCTTTCTAAGTGCAGCACCGCTGACCTAGAAAAATTTGCTACTGTATTAAAAATTAAAACCCTGCACTCAAAAAAAATCTGCATTTAGAAAAAGCAAAATTTATATGTTTTATATTGGAAAAACTACAAATTAAAGAACATTTTATTAAAATCTGCACTCAAAGAAATTGCATTTAGAGTGTATTTTACTAGAGCCTATTTTGCAAATTTAAAAAATTAGCAATGGTATATATGCAAGAATACATCAAAGACATTTTCAAGAAGCAAGCCCCTTAAAAAGGCAGATTAAGAAAAATCATAATAATTATTTATTGTATAACAATTTTGCTAGAACCTTGGTCAGCACCGCCACGAGGAACCTTCAAAATGAAAAAATACATTAAAAGAACATTAAGAGAATATCATCTATTAATAAAAAAGAAACAACATACTTTAATTTCAAGCAATCCATTTTGAAATTTTGCTTCAACATTATCGCGTTTTGAAGCGCAGTCTCGAGGCAAGAAGACAACTTTACGGAATTTTCCGACTCTGCGTTCACGTACACGAGAAGTTGCAGCTTCATAAGCAGGTTTGCGTTTGGATTCTCCTTGGACAACTAATTCTACATTACGAAGATTAATCGAGATATCCTCTTTTGGTACGCCCTGATATATATTTATATTTGTGTGAATGATTTATTAACCTTTTTTTTTTTCCTAAAAAGAAATAGTTTTGACTTACAGGTAAATCAACATGAATGATAAAAGCGTCGTTCGTGTCATATATATCTGTAGCAGGTCTCACAAAAGTAAAAAATTAAAGTTGTATAATATTCTCGTGCTAAGTTTTATTTCATCAGACATGAACTGGGATAATATTATTATTGTAATTATTAAGATACCTCCAAACGATGTCACCCATTTTATTAACCTTAATACGACTTCCAAAATTTCGTGATTGATCAGAAATAGGTAAACCGCGGGAACGAGGTGCAGTGTCCAAGGTACGGGAAGTAGTTTGATCCCAGGTGGGTGTTTCCGGACCAATTGAAAACGCATTCCATGAAGTGTCTGGAGTCCAATCGAAAGTACTGGTACGTGGAGAACTAATTCCAGAATCAAAGTACGGATCGTAAAAAGGAGAAAAAGGATCGTTAAAGAGAGACATCCCTAAAAATTCTTGAGAATCAAGAAAAAAAATAGATCAAAATTCAACCCCTTTATATTATATAATTCTAGCATAAGGTCACGTAACTTTATGTAATAATGTCTTTATTTATTGTCACAGCAGGCTAAGGTCATTTTATCGTAATGGTTTGTTACGTAACTTTCGAGAACTACATGACATCATATTAATCTATGAATTTTCATATAAAACAAACACTATATTTGTAAATAAGATAAAATTTGAGTCATTTTCGTTATATGGAGGTAAGTTTTTGCTCTTGTTACAGAATCTAGGATGGTTAAGAATGGAATCTTCCAATCATTTTGTCAAATTTCCGAAGTATCTGAAAAGAGTTGGACTGTAGTTAGTTGATTGATTATAACTAGTTTGTCGTGACAAACAGTGTGTGAAATTCAAATTTAAATTTTATGTTCTCACAAGAACATCTATATAATAGATTTTGAGATTTTTTTATGTTCTCAAATCAGTGTAACCTAAAATTTTTATGTTCTCAGAGAACATTTTGAGAACATTGAATTTCGCACATTGGTGACAAAAGAGAATAAACATGCGTAATAGTAAATTGGCGTGTGAAAATGAAACAATTTATAAAACTTCCAAATAAAAAGTCCAACGAAATCATATAAACATGGAACTATAATTGTTGAAAATAATTTTATATTTCGATTATACTTGCAAAGTTAATGGAATAAATCATGTTTAAATTTTAGATACTGTATGTTTTAAATTTTAGTCATACCTCTATAATCACACTTTGGAATATGTTACATATTTATTAAATGTAAGTACATTAATCTTTTAATAAAAAACAATAAGTATTAATATTTAGAAATTTGAATGATTAATATTTTGGTTAACAAATATCTACGCTCATCAACTAAATTAATACAAATAAAATAAAAATTAATAAGATATAGTATAAGAAAAATATTTATAAATTTGAATAGTTTATTTTTGTAATTCTCAACAAATAGTACAAACAATATCTCTTGTTAAAATCTCCCCTATACTATAGCGCGATTCTTGGTCACGCTTAGATATGTCACGTTTTTTTTTTAACAGAGATCCCGAATATGCACCGCGTAAGCGGTGCATATTCGGGATCTCTGTTAAA